TTGCAGAGGCTGCGGACTTCCTGGCGCATTTGTTGCTTCCAAACCTCTTCATTTCCTTCCACAAAACTCTGGACTTTTTCTCGAAGTTGCAAAGCCAAAGAAACTTCTCTTTTTTTTTGGTCTTCTTCCAGAGCCTTCATTATTCCCTCCCGCAAGTCCACCCCCCCCTCCTGCAGCCGCAACTGAGGGTTTAGGGTTTAGGGTTTAGGGTTTAGGGTTTGGGGTTGGGGTGTGGGTTTGGGGAGGGCGGGTTGGGAGGAAAGGTTCACGCTTTGCAGCGGGCAAGCACCGTCTAGGGGTCGTGGCGCTAGGGTTTAGGGTTTAGGGTTTAGGGTTTGGGACTGAGGGCCTAGGGTTTGGGGTTCAGGGTTGGGGAACGAGGGTTTAGGGTTTAGGGTTTACTCCTGAGACGGTGGACATGAAGTCATCTTGGGTCAAAACTTCGAGGAGCTTCGCCATCTTGAGCTTGCCTGCGCGCGCAAACCCTAAACCCTAAACCCTAAACCCTAAACCCTAAACCCTAAACCCCAAACCCTGCAACTCGCCACCAGCCCCTCCGGAAGCGCCCGCGCCTGGGCCCGAAGCAGGGCCCCGAACCTCCTTCCGACCTCCACGGCTTGTCGTCTAGCGCCTAGGGTTTAGCGTCTAGGGTTTAGGGTTTAGGGTTTAGGGTTTACCGGTGTAGGGGTCGAGCTGTTCGGAGCCAAAGAGCATCATGAAGAACAAAGCAGGGTCTATGAAGTTAATTGTCTTTGTGGCGCTGACTCCAAAAGTGTCATAATCTTTTCTTCTCTTGGGGTCGTTCAACACTTGGTAAGCCTCTCCTGAGGGTTTAGGGTTTAGGGTTTAGGGTTTAGGGTTTGGGGTTTAGGGTTTAGGGTTTGGGGTTTGCGGTGCGGGCGCGGCAGGGGGGAGGGTTGCAAGGAGCAGATGCAGCAGCAACACACACGAACACACACACACTATTCACTCTTAGCAATAAACCCTAAACCCTAAACCCTAAACCCTAAACCCTAAACCCTAGAGGGTCAGATCCCCCGTGCCAGCAGCGGAGGCACGCGAGCTGCCAACCGCCGCTCGAGAGCCAATGTGAAGGGTTTAGGGTTTAGGGTTTAGATTTGGCTGGGGTTTCAGCGCCTAGGGTTTGGAGCTTCTCCAGTCTAGGGTGTAGGGTTTAGGGTTTAGGGTTTAGGGTTTGGGAGACGGCACCCGCGCAAGCCACCGCCACAGCTTCTGCTGCAGCGCGGCCTGAGGGTTTAGGGTTTAGGAGCTCTCTCTCCGGGCCGTCGCCGCGCGTCCGCGCCAGCGCGCAGGCCTAGGGTTTAGGGTTTAGGGTTTAGGGTTTAGGGTTTAGGGTTTACCGATGGCCTGGAACTTCTTGTGGGCCTCGGGGTCTCCAGGGTTTTTGTCGGGGTGGCACTTGAGGGCCAGCCGATAATAAGCTTTTTTGATTTCAGCAAAAGATGCATTTGGCTGCACTTCCAGCACTTCGTAGTACCTCGTGTCCGCCACTTTGCTGCTGCTGCTGCTGCTGCTGCTGCTGCTGCTGCTGCTGTTGGTGGTGCTGCTGCTGCTGCTGGTGGGCGGCGACGCGGTGCTGCTGCTGCTCGGGGAACCG